CAGCCAGAAAGGGGGCGAGACAGTATCGCCCCAGCATGCAGGAGCTGTGCAACCCCCTCAAACATGGCACAGCAGCCACGCAACATGCAACACACGGCACAGGCAGCACCAGGCTGGGCCAGGCTCCGGCAGCCCGAGTGTCCTCACCCCCCCCCCCCCCCCCCAGGAGATCCCAGTGTCCCCCAGGAGAGACTCCAGGGACAGGCTGGAGCCTGGAGCATGCCTGGTGCCCACCATGCCGCACAGGGAGATTGTGGTCCCTGGTGCCCACAGATCCCATGTGCCAGGGACTACACATGTCTACAGGGAAGGGCAGGAGGTGTGCACACATGAGTTGCATGTGCAATGAGGGGTTGGAATCGCAGTACACCCATGCACATAGATGTAAGCGGGGAGGGGTGTGCATGTGTGTACATGCCAGTCCAAGGCAGGTGTCTGTGTGCAAGCCCAGAGAGAGATGCGTGTGCAAGTGCACATGCATGTATGCAGGGAGGTTGTGTGTGTGCGTGCATGTGTACACGCTTGTGTACATGCATGCACGCCCATCCAGGGCCCAGAATCTGCATGCAGGTTCACAGGGGCGTGTGCGCCAAGTGCACACGCACATACATAGGAGATGTGCGTGCACATGTGTACGGGTATGCAGAGGACTTGCCCCTCCCTGCCAGAGGGCTGGGAGCAGGGGGGCAAGTGATCAGCACCTCCCCAAGCCGGCTGCAAAGCAGGGAGGAGGAGCTTTGGCTTCCTCTCCCTTCTCCTAAAGCCTGGGGAGATATGCACATGCACACGGACATGCACACATGCGGGGACACACACGGACATGCACACACACAGACATGCACATGCACACACACACATGCTAGAAACTGGGCAAGGTGGCAGTGGTGGGGGGAATGGATCCGGGAGCAGTCACCACAGGGCAGGGACAGACACACGGACACAGGCCGGGGTGGGGGGGCCTCACGGGTACCAACCTAGGTAGCTATTCTGGGCCACGTCGGCGCTGGCCCCTGGCCCCTGCTCGGACGGCTCCAGCGTTTTATAGACCAGCTGGTCGGGGTCCGAGCTATCAACATTTGTCACAAACAAGAGCCCTGCGGGGCCGGCCCGGACACACAGGGAGACAGACAGAGTCAGGATTGGGCCTCCGCCCCTTGCATCTATTCCCCATTTGCTCCCAGCTGCAGACCTTTGGGCGGGGGGCAGGGCGGGGGGGGGCTCCCAGCACCCGGGGGCCCCGGCCCCCCTACCCAGGTAGCTGTTGGCGGGCAGGGGGATGCGTGAGGGGTCCTGCTCCTTCTCGCCCCCGGCCTCGTAGGGCCCGTCGTCCAGGAGCCCCAGGTCCAGGGTGCTCTGGTTGCAGCGCTCCACCCGCACCGTCCCTGCAACAAGCGCCCGTTAGTCCCGGGACTGGGGGGCGTTAACTGGGGGGCAAGGGGGGGAGTCCGGCATGGCTTGGAGTGGGGGCCAGGGATCCAGCATCAGGCCTGGTGGAAGGTGGCTGGAGAGAGAAAGGACCCCTGGCAACAGTTGGCACAATGACTGGCATCAGCCCACCCCCTGCCAGCATGCACCTCCAGCATGGAGGGGGGGTCTGCGCCCCCCCCCGCCTCACCCTTCCAGTTGTAGGTGCCAGGCGCGCCAAAGAGCACGTAGCGGCGGTCGGGGGAGAAGCCGGCGGCCAGGCCCTGCTGGCACAGCCCGAAGCGGTCGTGGCCCTGGGGCCGCCCCTGGCAGAAGGTCCAGTCGCCAGCAGCCAGGTCCCACGCCATCGCCCGTCTCCAGCTCCTGCCCCACGCGGTGCCGCGCCTCATACAGGTGGGCGCACGCCTGCGGGACCCCAGCCCGTGGTCACTATCACCCCCAACCTGGGCCCTCGAGAAACGGCTGGGAAGGGACCCAGGTGTCCTGGAGGCCTCTCCTGCCAGCCCAAACTGCTGCAGCGCACTCCCCTTCCCAAGCCGGGTGGAGAACTCAGGTGTCCCGGCATTCCCCAGCTCCAGCCTTCCCAGCACCAGAGGACCCAGGCTTCCTGGCTCCCAGCAGCCCCCAGCCTCGCCCCCCACAACCCCCCCATGCACTGACCACGATCTTGCCCCCGGGGCCCTGGCTCCGCACGCTGACACCCAGCCACTGGTTCTCCTTGCTCTCCCTCTGCAGGTCCGCTGGGTGGAAGGGGAGGGCACGGTCAGTCGGGCAGACCCACCCCCTCCTGCCCTCCAGCAAGGATCTTCATCCCCCCCGATCTTGAGCCCCATTGCAGTGACATCAAATAGCAGTGACACCCCCCTCCCCCCACCCCCATGTGCCTGAGGGCAGGATTGGGACCCCCACTCTCCCTTCCCAAGGGCAGGATCGGGGCCTGTCTGTACCTGGCTGCCTGCCCCAGCAGGGAAGGGTGAACCCTCCCCCTATGTTCACAAGGATTCAGGATCAGGATCAGGGCCCCACTCCCACAGTGCCAAGGGCAGGATCATGTCCGCAGCACCAGCAGGGGATGTTAAAGCCCCTCTAACCCCCCCCAGCCCCTACCTCCCTGGTCGATGGGCACACGCCAGCAGTCATCGGGCTCGTGGGTCAGCGGGCAGGCATAGAGGCCCCCGGTCCGGTTTGCCCCCTGGCCCGGGAAGGCTGGTGCCTGTGGGGCCCCTACCAGCAGCCTGCAGGGGGACGGGGCCACATCAGACTCCCAGGGACTCCCCAGAGCCACCTCCCCCTGCGCCAGCATGAGCGCCACAAGACCCCAGGCTGCATCATGGATGGGAGCACGGACACGCCTGGGGCACATGTGTTGGCTGGCCCGCACGAGCACATGCAGCCTGTGCCGTTTCCATCGCCCGTGCCCCTCCCCGCCCCCGCCCATGTGCAGCTGTTGCCCTCCCCCAGCCTGGAATTCACACCCCCGCACCCAGGTCACGCTGCATCAAGGCCCAGGCGGGACGGTGGGGCTGAGAGGGAAGGAGAGTGCCTGCGTACACGTGCAAAGGCGTGGGCCCGCTCACGTATGAGCACACATGGAAACACCCATGGGCACAGGCTGTGTGTGCATGAACACCCATGTACATGAATGCAAACACCTGTGTGCACAGGCATGTGACGGGGCTTGTGTGTGCAAGTCCATGTGCACTCAGGTATGGGCGTGCAAACACCCCGTTTGCACAGACATGGGTAGGGGAGGCTGCGTGTGCATGCACATGCATGTACTTGAATGCAAACACCCATGTGCACAGGCACATGGGGGCAGAGTGACTGTGTGTGCATGTGTGCACAATGTGGGTGTGCAAACTCCCCCATGCACAAGCGTGTGCAAGGCCCGACAGGCCCCAATCCAGCTCTGCAGGAGCCCCCCACCTCAGCCACCCCCTGGCCTCCACTCCAGTCCAGAACGGCCCCCCCAGGCAGCCCCCCCATGCTGGCGGGGCCAGGCCCCTGGGGCAGGGTAGGGCAGGGGTGGGCTCGCCCCTCCCCGCCCCACATTCCAGCCCCACCGGATGCTCCGGCTCTTGGACAGGGATTTTTCCACAGCCATGGCCAAGGCCGGGGATTGGGACGGGCCCAACTCTGGGAACAGGGAGCGGTGGCTCCCCTGGGGGCGGGAACTGCCCCTCCCAACCCCCCCACTCTCAGGCCAGGAGTGAGAGAGGGGCCAGGAGCAGAAGCAGGCTGCCCCACACATGCGGACACACATGCACACGCCCCAAAGAGCTTGAGACTGGGGGTGCTGCGCAGACCCCCCAGGCCCTGCTGGACCCCCAGGGAGGTGGGAAAGCGTTGGCGCGTTGGGGCTGGGACTGAGCGGGTAAAAATAAACTGGAATTCACCCAGAATAACCCGCGCCAGGGTGGGACAGCAGCAACATGCCCAAAGAAGGACCAAGCAGGGGGATGGGACCCCTGCACCTCCAACCCCCCTCCCATCCTGCCCCCAAGGTGCTGGAGAACCCGGGCGCTGTCCCCTGCCCAGCCCCAAGCCTGACCCCAGTGACCCCCCTGCTCCCCCAGAGCCCCCACCCCAGGGCGGGGAGGCCAGCCTGGGCCTACCTGCCCTGCCCCATCCCCCTGAGGGGGAGCAAAGGGAAGGGGACCTGAGCCAGGGTCATCGGAGGTTAGTGATGGGGCAGTGACTCCCTCAGCATCCTGCCCCAGCCAACACCCCCCGCGCCAGGATCGGGGCCTGGGGCTGGGCAGGGGTCTTTGAAGAAGGGGGCTCCTAGGCCCAGGGTGGTTGCTGGGGGCAGGGGGGGGGAACGCCCCAGACATACATACACTCCAGGCAGATGCAGCCTGCTGGGTGCATGCCCATATGCACAGATTGTTGTGCATATGGGCATGCACACATATAGATGTGCTGTGCACATGGGTGTGCACACAGATGTGTCATGCACATATACCCACACACACACATAAGCAACGCCATGCCCACGCCTGTGCCCGGGAATGCCCAGTCCTTTCCCCGCCAACTCCTGCACCAGGATCCTCAGCGTCGGGGGCAGTGACCCCCATGGGATACATACAGCCAGGGCACTGCCCCAAGGAAGCTCACAACTCTGGGCTTGGCTGAGGGAAGGCAGCTGGGGCCTGGAATCCGAGTGGGTGTTGGCAGCTGGGCACCGTGGGGGGGGCAGAAGCCAACAAAGGGTGGGGGGGCAGGGAGCGGGTGCCCAGCACATTCCCCGTGGCCCACGTCGCCCTGAGTCACCAGCTGGATGCGGGCAGCGCCTAGCCCCCTACATCCCCCACCCCGGACACGAGCCCAGAGGGACACCTGCCCCCTCCCGCCCGTTATACTGCGCACTCCCCTGCCCCTCCCCAGAGGTGGCTGCATCACATCCTCCAGGCTGGGGCTGGGGCCGGTGCTGGGGCCCTCCCCCCAGGACTGCGTCCGGGCATCGATTTCAGCAGCTCCCAACTCTCCGGGCTCCGATGAATAATACAGGAGCAGGTTCAGGGGAGGCGGGGGTCCCGCGGGA